GCAACTTGGTCCTCCCTGGAGTCCTGACGTAACCTTGCAAGGGCGTATCCAGGTCCTCACCACGATGTGGACCAGTGGGAGGTGTGTTTTCGGCGACGAATCCTTCGCTCGGTCTTCCTACTAGTTGATTCGAAGAGATGTTAAAACCGAAATCAGAAACGAAAACAGGAATGTAAACGTAACTGACCGCTCAAGGACGATGTAAAATCCGAATCCGAATGTGATCAGGTAGGGTTTCGAGAAGGATTTAGTACGACGGACCACATCGACACGGTAACGCGGCTCATTGAAGTATTGCGAGAGTACAAAAGACCGCTCTGTCTCACTTTCATCGATTTACAGAAGGCCTTTGATTCAGTTGAGATAGAAGCGGTCACGGGTGCCCTCGATAGCCAGAGAGCCCTTACTCAGTGTAGAAAAGTTTTTCGTGATCTGTCACCATCCTATAACGATATTAACATCGACGTCAAAAGAGGTGTTAGGTAGGGCGAAACGATTTCGCCAAAATTATTTACCGCCACCCTCGAAAACGTTATGCGAACGATGGAATCGAACAACATGGGAGTGAGGATCGATGGTCGGCAGTTATATCATCTTCGGTTTGCTTATGACATTGTCCTTATAACACCACACATTGGCCAGGCGGAACGCATGCTTGCCGGCCTTAATAAAGCTCACAGAATGATTGGCCTTCCACAAAATCTCACAAAAACGATGTTCATGAGGAACGGACTGGTTACGTATGCCCCATTCACGCTCAACAGTAACAAAAAGCACTGAACTCCGAGCGCACATACTGACCTCGCGATCCTTCCTGCCTTAACGTATGCGTCAAAAATCAAGTCGTTACGAAAACAGGGCGATAGATCACTCAGCATTCTAGAGTACGCAGTTGGAAGAACCATACCAGATGTATCTCGTATTACAAGATAGGGAAGTCGATCCGAAGCTCCGACCTACGCCAAAGATCAAAGACCAAAGATGCCGTTCTGTACGCCAAACAGTCGAAGATAAGATGAGCCGGACACGTAATGTGTATGAGTGACAACCGATGGACAAGAGCCGTTAGTGACTGGATTTCTCGGGATGTTAACCGCACTGCAGGTACACCACCGACCCGATGGTCAGGGTTCTTCACTAAAATAAGAAATATGTGATGCTCAACAAGTCCCTAGAGCGAGTAGAGCCCACTGGGCTATTCTTGAATGCGACGGGCAGAATGGAGTATTGGTTAATGCCCACTCTAGTCAACCGACCATCAACGGGACGACAGATGATCTTTATTAATCTTATATTTAAAGGATGATATCGAAGTTTTTATGTCGCCGTAGCAGGAGTACTTTCTTTTCAGGCCCAAATTACACCTCTTTGTGCTTCCATGAAGAAAGACCTCTTCCAAAAAATATTCTATATGTTATTCAATATGTTTATTCTACACATAAGCAAAACATTATTAACAACGAAAGTAAGTAACAACATAATATCAATTCCAATCGGACTAAGTTGAATACGAAAGCTATAATGTGTTGTAGAAGTCATGAGACATGATCCATGACCACTATATCAGCTAGTACGTATGAATAGCTTTCTTTTAATATCAAACCGCTTATTCGGATACCTGAAATGTCTCCAAATGCATTGAAATAAAGATCACTGAGTATAAATAGTTCCCCGTCAACATTTTAGAAGAAAAGAAGCCCGTTTCCTAATGATATCTAACCTGTCCATACGTCGAGCAATCTCTGGATCCCATGGCATGTCCTTTTCGGGCCGTGTGTAATCGAATGTCTTGGAAAGGAAAGCTTAAGTGATTATAACCATGTTTCATTTAGAGAATGAATACCTGATCCTCATAATCAAACCAATCAGACTTCGGCTGGAACTGACGAAGAAGCCGCTTATTACGTAAACCAACAACGCTGCCTCCAGTTCCAGGGAACGCCGTCACACCTATAAAATTCGTATAGAGACTGAAGTCTCACATTTTCTTCCAACACGATCGCTGTATTGGGTGAAAACAAGTTTCAAAGACCTCCGTGCCAAGCTTCAACATCCTCTGGATGGAACCTGTGTGCCTGCTCCATCATATACACGTTACGCGGTTTCGTTACCATTCGAGCCAACCTAGATCGCAAACAAGGTTAGAATTTTAATTCACTTAGAGAAGAGCGAACTCTATTTAACGGACTAACTTGGTGTAACTAGTGACATTTTCAACAGGTTCCTCATAAAAATCAATTAGATCCTGAACAGATTTGATATGCATGAGTCGCGAGTTCGTAGGGCAGTGTTTGAACTGCTCTGACAGTCTTAAGATAATCTGAAGCCAACATTTGAAAGACACCGAAATCTTTACAGTGATGCTTGAACGACGAAGTTTGAGGTAGCAAGATCCAAAAACCACCTTAGATTTGACATTATTATCGTTGAAAACAAACTGCGTTAGATCTGCTACTCCATCAGTTTCATCACACAACACTTCACTTGCTGTTTTTAAGACGGAATTTTTCACATCACGAGGAGGCTGGTAATTATAGCGATACTTCAGAAACCTGGAAAAGAATCCTGGAGAAACAGAGAACAAGACATCGAGTACCAGCAGTAGAAGCAACTGACCCACGTGCTCGAATAGAGTCTTCATTTATTTGATAATTTAAAATATCCTCAGTATCGTAGCTTGTACTGTCTACTTGGGACTTGGACCTTGGCGAATCAGTTCGAAGGCTAGGTAGAACCTTTTTCAAAGTTTCCTTAATAATCAAATCGAATTGTATGAAAAATACGCTAAAGTTTGATGGAAAGGTCTGATCACAAGGTAGGGGCTAAGGATACTACCATTTTCAACGATTGAACTCTTCAAAACTCCGGAACTAAGAAGTTCAGTTCAACTCAATTGGAACTAGGTTCAGAAGAACTAAAATTCTTAAAAACAGGGACATGGTCAAAACTGGGCGCAAATAAGTGTACGTATCTTGGCTTACTTGCTGCTGCTCGCTGAGCTTTGTAGAATCTCCCTTCACAGCGGACTTTGACAATCCAAATAGGGAGGACAGTACTGCACGAGCACGTACATAATGCACGCTCGATACCCTCATCTCACTGCGAGATGGAGTCCGACGTTGTGCTTATTTTCTGGAAAGATAAAAGAATAAAGGACAAAGCTCTCGGATTTTACCAATCCCTGAGAAATGCGGCACGCATTCCACTTCATTAAGCATCGTTGTAGGTGAATGAATGCATATCTGGCCTTTACAATGGCTCGCAGTAGACTACCGATGTATCGAGCCAATGCTATTATCCTCCCAGACAAGTCTGGTACCAATTTGCCGACCCCGGAGGGATGGAAAGCTTGGTGGGCCATGGGCGCGGGGATCGATTCCACGTTTGTGTTGCATTGCAGTGGCGCATCCAACCACTGCGCTACACACGCCATAAAATGGTAAGAAATTTTAATCTATAACTTCAAATGCATACTGTCCAGTTCACGGAGCTTTTCTGATCAGGATGAAGGTCATTTAGAATCTACATGGGGACTTCCTCAGCCAGTTATGGAGCTACTTAAGAAAGCAGGTGACGAGTTTCCTAATGATATGTGAGGCAGAGGGTGAACTGCGTATCCCAATTCCTTCAATCCTTATTGTATATGATTTTCTGGAATTGCAGTGAAGCGATTTTTCCTAATGAGCTTCCATGCTGTTAGCATTTTGCCACGATTGGAAAAGAAGTGATTGATCATTCTTTACCAAAAATGAAAGAGGTGGTCATAGCTTTCTTCTGATGAGAATTCGCAGTAGACTACCGATGTATCGAGCCAGTGCTGTTATCCTCCCAGACAGGTCTGTAAGCAATTTGCCGACCTTGGAGGGATAGAGGGCGTGGTGAACCTGGGAGCAAGGATCGATCCCATATGTATTGCAGGGCGCCTCTGACCCCTGCGCCATGCGCGCCCTTTCTTGAGAGATAAAGTGTACGTTCCTCCCAACGGCTTACCGACTCATCGTGGCTAGGAGATGATCTTGAGTGTCGAACTGCGATGTACAGAAGGAGGATTTGTCTCACCGGCAGGGTCTCCCAAACTGAGAAGGAGTCCGACGTTCCCATCAGGAAGCCCAGCTAAGAGTAAACCAATACCAGGATCAACCAACGTCCTGGTATCAAAGTTGCATGGTGGTAAATCCCCTCTGATCCACAAGGGCTGCGACTGCCTGTCGTGGTGACGACTTGGGGCACGCTTTGGCCAGGCTGTCCTCGGGATTCCAGGGAACCACAGTAGCTTAACCAGCAAATCTCCGAAAATTGGTGACTACGCTGGAGCCCGCAAAAGTAGTGATGACGGACCGTTTAAGTAACAAGTAACAAGTAACACTTTAGTACCACCATGCGACTTTGATACCAGAATGGTGGTAGATCCCAGTATTGGTTTACTCTTAGCTAGGCTTCTTGATGGAAACGTCGGAGTTTTTCTCAGCTTGGGAGACGCTGCCGTGGGGACGAATCCTCCCGCTGTACATCGCAGTTCCACGCCCAGGATCACCTCCTAGCCACGATGAGGCGGTAAACCTTTGGGAGGAAGCAAAGTGTACGTTACGAAAAAGATTACGTGATCCAAAACCTTCTCGAAGCATGATGACACCCATTTACAATGAGAATGCAGTTCTTTCATGGATTCGGACAAGTAGTTCTACACACGAGAATGCTTCTAACAATTTCTATGCGTATTTACTCTAAATACAAGAGCCTCAAAAAATGTAGAACAGTTCAAAGCTACTTCATGACGGTTGAAGGACACCCACTAGAGGCTAACGAAAGATGTGGATAGCCCAGAAAACAAACCTCACCATAAAACGTGTGTAATTACGGGCTATCACGTACCGTATTGCAATTCGAGAGGAATTTTAAGAGCTGGAAGTTGAAAAAAGTAATTTCACGGTTCAACGTTCGTTGAGGTGGTCGGTTTATGGATTGGTTCAAGTTGTTTCTTTCTTGGATTCTATAACAAGTTTTATTTTAAGGAATTAAGCCTGCAACTTTGACTTTTGTGTCGAGATTTGCCTTCAAAATCTCTTAGTTTTATGGTTCTGCTCTAGTCCTCTTTAGAATACAAACTCTCAGATCTTCTGACGTTTCGTAGTGCCGTTTAGCACTTTAGTGCTATTATTTCTTCTGTACCTATATTTTTAGCATTTCCTTTTACTTTTTTACTTTTTTTTTCATACAGCTTCCTATACTACTTGGATACTTTGACGACCCGTCCTCGCTGGTTGTGCGGACCCCCAACATAATCTCCATTTTTCATAATCTCCATTCCACTCTTTAGTCCCGTGGTCAGCTTGTCCAAAGTCTGCCTCAGGTCATCACCAGCGTAGGCAGTTTTCGCTCTTGTGGATCAGAAGCAGATTTGCCACCACGCGACTTTGATACCGGGACGGTGGTGGATCGTGGTGTTGGTTTAGTATTAGCTAAGCTTCCTAGTTGATATGCTGGACTCTTTCTCAACTTGGGAGACTGCCGTGGGATGAATTCCCTTGGTACCGGTATACATCGCAGCGCGACACCCAGGATCACCTTCCAGCCGCGATGAGGCGGTAAACCGTCGGGAGGACTATTTCCTATACATTGTTTCACATCATTCTATAATGTTTTTTTCTTATGTGTGGCAGCATTCGGAGTTAAGATGATGCCAGTGGTGTCATATTATACAAAACTGTTGAGTTGTTGTCCTTGAAATAGATGAAATGGTGGAACTACCTTTGTTCTTTGTTCATTTCAATACTAATCAATTCGTTATTTCAGGACAAGACATCTTTAGAAGTCGAAAACGACGTGTCGTCTTTTTGAGCGCCCATTTCACAAGATCCTGCTATGGAGTCTCTTCGTAGAGTATGTTCTTCCTTCGTGTATTCGTCATTCAAGAATCATCTTACTTTTTTATAATTACTGGTCGAGTAGCAATAGTGCGGTGGTTAGGAATATCGTTAATCAAGCACAGAAGCCCTGGTTCGATCCCCACCCGGACTCTCTCTTCCCGTCCACGTGGGAACGCCTTAGCCCGGTTGTCTCTAAGATTGGAAGGCGAATTGTCTCGACTACCGTTCTTTGATATTTACAAGTGAGACGAAATCCACAAGCAACAGCTGAGAGAATATACGAAGTGGTCGGAGATCTTTGTGAATGATGAATTCGAGGAAAATGAATCGAATGCAAAAAGTGATGAGATCAGCACAGTAGATGTGATGATGAGTCATGTGAAATAATAAAATATTTAGTAGCAATTCAGCTTGAGGAGTTCGAAGCCACAGTGACCTATGGTAGAGATCTATTCACATCTACACGGAGTTTATTATCGTATTCATTTGGTAACCAGAGAATCGCAGGTTAGTTTTGCATGATAAGCCTTCTCTCATATTTCTTTTCTTCATATCAACGTTATCGTATCGAGGAGCGCGTGTAACGCAGTGGTCGGAGGCGCCCTGCAATACACACGTGGAATCGATCCCTGCGCCCCTGGGTCACCAAGCCTTCTATCCCTTGGAGGTCCGCAAATTGGTACCGACTTGACTGGGAGAATAGTAGCATTGGCTTGATACATCGTTGGGCCAAAGGGAGTCATTCTATGGGCCAGATATGAATTCGATCGCCTCCAAACGAATGTAGTCGAAGGCATGGCACATCCCTCAGGGATGATCAACGTCGATAGCTTTATCCTTTATATCGAACTTTTTGTTCTATGTTTGTCCGTCGGATTTGCGATTAAAGACCTTCATTAATATGACTTTGTTTCCGACACTCAAGTAGAAAAGAATGCGTGTTGAGCCACTGGTTTTCAGATGTGTTTCGCTTTGCTATTCGTTTTCCGGATCATTTGGATAGATGTAGAGAGATTTCAAGAAGTCTGTGCGGAATCGTGCTAGGAAAATTGGAGTCCTTGCTTGAAGCTGAAAGGTTGCGAATACAAGTCCATTTTTTATAGTTTCATACAAGTCCATTTTGTAGAGTTTCATCTCATTTCATTGGCTTATCTATCAATCCATGGTAATATTTTCATGGATCAAGTTTTCTTTAACACTGTCGATTTATTCTGTGGTGTTATAACCGACTATATGTATTCTGCAGGGCGAAATTTCGGCTCACACGTATCTGGAACCTAACCCGTTTATTGAGTAACATTTGTTGATATCCCTTCAGTTATGGTTTTATTCTCAGGTACTCTGACGAAAAGTGCGACATCGCAGAACAAATAGAACTTTTTTGGGAAATTTATCAATTGAAGTCCATCCCAAACTTACTGGAATCCAACGCACTGTCATCTATTGATAGAATGTTGCAGTCCATTGGTGTTTTCGTTAAAGAAGCTGGTGAGGATTGTTTATTTCTGCTTCATTTAGTTTTTCATTATTGACTATTGCTATTAAACTTCTAGCAAACTAACAAACCATAGTAATGGTTGAAAACTTCTCGAGACAATAGGGTAGCACAATGTAAAGAAAGCAGTCAAACAACTGCAACGTAATGCAGGGGGTTCATTTTCTGTCTTCGGCATGGTACTATTAGGTAAACTCTTCGACGTATCCGTGAAAGAATTCAAAATAAGGTTCAGGAATGAAATTGGTTTCTCCTTGAAAGTTACTGTTGAATTATTTGGGTCTTTGACCCGTCTCCACTCTGCTGTGGTTTCCAGCCTAGTGTACATTACTTTCTTTCCGTAATGATCGCTGTCTGCGGAAGTAGTCTGCCTTGAGCATAACAATAACTGATCACCTTATGGTCTCATCTTATTGTTGTATATCTCTTGTTCAGTATTCTCAAAAAAACCGGATTTCATGCACTTTGTTTGAAAAATCTATTCTGCTGGAACACATATACGTTTTTATCGGGTTGTACTGTACTCTCCTACTTGATATTATGTGCGCTGATCATTTTCGGAAACATATCGCTGAAGCACTCTATGAGTGGTTCATGGAATCAATTGTGAGCCTACATCTTTTGTCTCACTATACGTTAGAATCATTGTTGAGTCGAAAAAGCGGTTATCCCTAAATAAATGTAGAATACGATTTCTGCGATCGAGGAGCTGTCGAACTCGACTTGTTTTCCATCGAATTGTAGTTTTTCACTAATTTGGTCTGTGTATTTATATGCTATCCTACTATTTTCATTTTCTTGTTGCTCGTTGAATAGTTGTCTGTGGTTTGCCCATTCCCACTTTACGACTATATCATCAGTAAAATAGAAGTTATAGAGGAATTCCCCATCAAATCCACCAGTTCATTTTCCATCCATCCATTTCTGATGTAGATGGAAGCTTCATAATCTGCTGCAATGCTGTGGTGAACACCGACGCCATTTACGATCGTAAAAGAGGAAAATTGATACGACAGAGAGTATTTTTGGTTTCTTGTTATTTACTCTATTCGCTAAGAGCGGTTACTGTTTGTTGGAAAATGTTAACTAAATGAAAATAAAAGTCTACGATATATTATTGTAGGTAAGAATGGCACTTCTCAACTTTCATTACCATCCGAAGTTCTGCGTCTCTTCAACCAGGTTAGGCTACGGAATTGTTTTTGTTGTAGTGCGAGAGTCACTTATATCAAGTTGGACATGCAGCTTAAAAGATGTTTTGTTGATATGGGTTCATCAAAGCGCTCGTAGTCGTAGAACCAGTTTTTCTTAATCGTTACGAGTAATGTTCTTCTTGTAGCATAAGGTCTTATTGTTCCGCTAACATTTGGAGTGGTGACTTTATTTGGGCTTCTTGCCGTTCTTACCGTTTTCACTCTCACAACGCTTTTTCTTTAAAGGACATGACGAAGGCTAACCCATGCAGTTTTGTTGTGGTTGGTTTTCACTTTATCCACTTTACTCCTTCTGTTTTAGGAATGCAAAGCATCATCAAACTGTTCAGTGAAGGGATTGCCATATTTCCTCAAGGATATTTCTATTCAGCCCGGTCGAAAATGTGAAGCAATTGAAACTGAGTCAAAACCTAAGAAGGATTTTATATGGAGAATGACAGAGGTGGAATGTAGTTCGTTTTCGTATTTTTCCAGTTGTGATACTTTTTTTTACCATGTTTAACTCATGTTATTAATGCATTACAAGTCTAGAACTTTCTACTTGCTTATCTTCCGATTGATAGGTCTACTGGTTTTCTGAATTGTTTTCTGATCTTACAGCTGTTGGACGATGTTGCGGTTGGAAAAATTGATGTCGTATCTATGAAGGAAATGAGCGATTTCCGGCTGGAGGAATGTCTTCCTTCTGGTGACGCCATGCAGATAGCATCTCGGTTGAATTTGCTTGCTAATTTTCCCTTTTTTGAACGTTGACTAGTCTTTTCCATCTATCATGCCCGGTTTCTGTTAGGTTTTCATTAGTGATGGACAAGCTTTCTACGTGGCAACAGGATACTGTGGAAGCCTTCTTGGTCATGTTTGAAAACTTCTTTCAAACACTTTCTGATGAAACAAGGGTAAGATTTATCAAGCTTGGTCATTTTCAGAGGGAAGCTCGGGCATTGTAATATATTATGACTTTATAGTGTTCGGTGATGAGGCTGGTCTACGAAAAGAACCTACCAAAGGACGGAGATATGGTTTTCTTAGGAAACTATTTAAAAGTAGGGTTCACCATTCTGGCTTCAGTTTGTGAACAAACGTAAAGAAGACGAATGTATAGAGCTTTTCTTCGGAAGTCGCGGGATGTGTTAATGGAATAGGTGATCATAATGAAATCCAGAATAATCCGCAGAAATTCAGTTACATTAGAAAAAAGGTGAGTAGAATTTTCTAGTTTCATCCGGCTTTTTTCATAATAGCGTTTTTTAAGCTTTCTTGGTATCTGTTCACAATACCTGGACCGACTTTACGCCGTCTGTTGTCACAGTGCCTGCAGAACAAATTAATTGTACCTGGAGTGTTGAATTTAAGTTGTTTTCTGACATTGGATTTGATCTAAGCATAGAGACGGAGTTGTCTCATCTTTTCATTTTTCAGATTTTACGCTCATGCAGAGCACTCTCCGATCTTACTGTCAAGTCCGAGAAAGTGCCACTCGAAAATATACCTATTTTGATTGATTCCATCATATTCCTGTTCGAAGAAGAAGCTAGTAGGTGCGGTTTCTAATTCAGATTTCTTCCACGTATTCAGCGGTTTACATCATCTTATATTTCTGCTTGATTTTTAAGATTGGAAGGCACTGGACGGCAAGAAGATTTCGTTTACCTAGTGACGTCCCTTTGTCGACGAAAGCGAGACGCTGTCAAAGAAAAACCTGGTATATTGTCTTTTTTACATTCACTTCTTTATTTATTGAAGCCATATTGTGTGAACCTTCCAACCGTTTACTGCCTCATCGTGGCTGGAAGGTGTTCCTGTGTGTCGGGTTGGGACATCCATCCGGCAGGGTCTCCTCCCAAACTGAGAAGGAGTCCAGCGTTTCCATCAGGAAGATCAGCCAAGAGAAAACCAATTCCAGGATCCACTATCGTGTAGGTATCAAACTGGTCGCGTGGTGGTAAATCTCCCTGTGATCCACAAGGGCTGCAACTGCCTGTGGTGATGAGAAGGGTGGTGAAGACCTGGGGCAGACTTTGACCAGGTTTACGTTGAGATTTCAGGGAAACACTATGGTTAAACCAGCAAAACTCCGAAACATGGAGATTATGCTAGAGTCCGCACAACCAGTGAGGACGGGCCGTCCAATTATCCAAGTACTATATTATGACACATTATGGTTAATTTTGTCAAGCAGATAATTCAGATTTTGAAGTATTAGTGCTCGAATGACTTTAAAACCTACAGTGCTCATGACAGACGAGTCAGTTTTGGAAGGAGGTGTCTTGGTCAGACTGTTTGTTTTACCGAATCTGATGAAGAGGAGACATGAAGTGGTGATGTTGAAACTGCTTCTCAGGTCAGTTATATTTGCAAATTATGATATTACCCACGGCTTTTGCTTGTGATGGTCTTGTACATTGTATTTTAAGACTCATTCAATCATCAGGTGTCAAAAGTGTTTTTTTCGAATGGACAACCGCTATAGGAGAGAAAAGTACGTTTTTTTCATAATCATTTCTGAGGCGTTTCTATACCCACTTGCTAATCCTAAGACCTTCATGAGTGATGGATACGAGGAAGCCAGTCAAATGCAAGAAATGGGATCCATAAAATATTGGTGCATCCGAGTCATGTAAAAGAAAATCGAATGTTTTTTTCGTGAATGATTTTAAAAGGTGCTAAACTCAGAGAGTTGCTTGTCGTTTAGGACTAAATGCTGTGCAAACTCCGGAATTTTTGTTGCTTATTGTGCAGTTGTTTATGGAGTATGAATCTAAGCATAGACAAGCTGCTGAAATCTGTCATTCGATTTTGAAAGCCCTTAGTGGGAAGCTCAAATGTGAGTTCACATTGTGTTTTCGAATATTGCAAAAGTACTTTGTCGCTTTCGTATGGAAACGATAGTCGGTTTGTTGGCCGACCATAGTGGATTGCATGGTTTCAGCTGTCGGTGTTATTTTCAACAAGGAAACATCAGATTTTCTTCTATTTTCTTTACGATGTTATCCTTGGTGGGTGAGATATGCTATCTGCGATTGGTTTACTCACACATTGTCTGCACCTGTGCAACAGGTGAGATTCTACATTTATTAGTATCGTACTATTCCAACAAATCGGTACTGTTATTTTTTTTACCCAAGCCATCCTTTACATCCGTTGTATGGATCTTAGCACTTCTTGCATTCGATTCATTTCCCCTCCTATCTGTCATCCACGAAGGTCTTCTAACTTTCATGTCTGACTTCGGCTACTACTTGAGGATTTCCCTTCCATCATGAATGTCGTCGAATGCTATTCGAGTTTATTCTTTCTGGAATCCTAAGATAGCCGAGCTAAAGCGTTCCCACTTAGAGTGCAGAGTGTACTTTTCTCAGGCAATTCGGGTACCAATTTCCCGACTCTGCAGAGATACGGGGCTTGGTGAGTCTTGAGCAGAGTCGAACTAGAACTGTGCTCCTGATTATGGGCATCACTACCACTTCTACCCACCCCCTATACTTTCATTTATACCACAGATTTGCTAAATTTTTACGTGGTTTATTTTGTTTTGCTATCGTTAGTTCTTTGTTTTATAGATTCCTGCAGGTTTATATAAAAGCCTTTCACTTAATCGACAGGAGCAATATGAACAAATATCTGTGGATTTTCCTTTTTCACCTGCTGATTGCTTCTTTCGATCCTTATTTGAGCTCGCCTTGTTTGAAATCGACGTGGCATTAGACTTCCTTAAAAAAGGTTTGTATTATTTTCAACTACTTCTCCATTCTTTGGTGATCTACGTAACAAAGCTGTTTTCTTCTATAGGAATCGCTGTTTTTCCCCGTGACGAGAATCTCATTGAGAAAATCGCTATAGCACTCATAGATTCTTGTGAGCAAATGTCTTATAAACGAAACATAACAAGTTTAGCTCCATTACTCTCGGAATTGCTATGGGTTTGTTTCTTATGAAATATCTCTGCTATGTTCAGAAATATCTATCTGCCTCCAGTTTTCGTGCTGAAATTTCTACTTACATTTCTGCTGATATTTTAAATTCGGAGTGATTTTATTTAACTATCCAACTTCTTTTTCCAGTTTTATTAACCCAAATCTTTTTTTCGTTAAAGATGCTTGATCCCTCACAAGAAGTACGATTCATGGAGTCGCTTTGCGATAGCACTTACCGTGGCTTGAGACTTATTCAGCACATCTTATTAGTTGCCACCGCCGTGAAGTTGGCGTATCATAAGGTATAAAAGTCATTAATACTTACTTACTTGGCTACTTGGATGGCCCGTCTTCACCGGTTGTGCGGGTCACAGCATAGTTCCCATGTTTTCGGAGTTTTGCTGGCTTAGTCATTATGTTTCCTGGAGTCCCGAGGTCAGCCTAGCCAAAATCCGGGCCAGGTCGTCGCCACCACAAGCAGTCGCCGCCCTTGTAGATCAGAAGATTTGCACCATGGGACTAGTTTGATACCTGGGCGGTGGTGGATTGCGGTACTGGTTCAATCTAAGCTGGGTTTCCTGATAGGAACGCCAGACTTCTCATCCTGGGAGACCCTGTTGGGGGTATGGATGTCCTCGATGTACTTCGCAACCCGACACCTAGGAACACCTCCCAGCCACGATGAAGCGCTAAACCGTTGGGAGAAAAGTCATTGATACTATGTACAAATGTAGATTTATGTGACTAAGTTGTGAAAATAGATATTACTGTGTTAACAGGAGAGCGACAATGGTCGAAATTTACGTTCTTATCCAACGTGTGAATCTGACAGTGGGACGAACCACGTTCCTGACACTCTTCTACAAGCATTCTGCGAGTTGACGAAAGTTCACGCAGAAAAAGAGGTTCACATATTAATAAAATGTACGTTTGTTACCGACGGATGGACTTCTTTTATACTGTTCTAGGTCGTCAACCTTCGTCACAACAGACTGTTTCAACCACCGGATATTAAGTGAGCATGTGGTCGTAGTGACACGTCATTCATGTGAACGTCCAAGTACAATGTTGGGGTTTTTATGTAAAATTACAGAGAAGACCAGTTACCACCTCCATATGCCAGCATACGATTGGACGAGCGAGTATATGCTCAAATAGCTGTTTTATTTAATGTAGCCTGCTCGTTGACAAGGCTTGTACCAGAGGTATTGATAGTAGTGTAGCCTTTCAATATTCCATTTACTCAAAACATTGTTACAGACTCCAACATCACTGAAGGTACTGATTAATTGCTTGGCAGAGTACTTGTTCGAACTACAAAATCTACAGGTTGCTAAGTTCCTCGATGACCTTCCTTCAGACCACTACAAGGTTTGTGCTTGCTTACTTCGATGCTTGGATGGCCCATCTTCACTGGTTGTGCGGATTTCAGCATAATTTCCATTTTGCGGAGTTTTGCTGAGTCATCTTAGCCAAAGTCTGCCACAGGCCGTCAGCACCACAAACACTCACCACCTTTGTGAATCAGAGGGAAATTTGCCACCATGGTTTAATACCAGAACGGTGATGGATCCTGGCATTGGTTTGCTCTTGGCTGTGCTTCTCGATGGAAACGCCTGACTCCTTGTCAGCTTGGGAAACTGTGCTGGGAGGTTGGATTCTTCCTCTGTCCATCGCAGCCCCACACTCAGGAACACCCCCAAGCCACAATGAAGCGATAAACTGTTGACAGCTTATAAGGTTTGTACTTCAATAGAAGGATAGATCTAATGTTTTCTCCATTGATCAATCACTTGTGATGCACTATGCATTCATCCCCATCTTTCACGTCTTCGTAGAGCTAGTATTTGCTCTATATAACGGCTTTCGGTGGATTATCGATGTATCAAGATATTGTTTTTATTCTCCCAAAGGGGCCTGGTACCAATTTGCCTATACCGGACAGATGGAAGCTGGGGTGGGATGAACCAATAACCACGTGTATACGTGGCAACTCTGAACTGCGCTATACCGCACTGTTTCTGAGGAGCTTGCTTCGTTTAAGAGGCTTTCGTGGTTATTTTTTTTTCCATGATTTAGGGTCTTCCACACAAATGTGAAACGTAAGTAATAATTTTATATAATTTTTTTCTTTATTGCTTTCCTCTAGAGCAATACTGTGTACGCTTTTGCTAAAGCTGATGTCAAGAAGCAGGGAAATTACAAAACGGAGGAAAACCAAGAAAAATGTTAGTTGTATTCATCTAGTTATTTTTATTTACGCAGTGCTAGCTTATTAATTGCGATAGCGTATTCGTCCCTTTACTCGTCTCTGTTAAGAAAAGCATGAATTAGATTTTAGCTGAGAAACATTCTGTTCGAGGAGCAACATTTAGCACGAACGAGCTTTGCAGTGTTCAAAATGAGCTGTTCGATAGATTAGGAACAACGAGTAAGTTTGATTCGTCTTGTGTTGATTGAGGCAATCATACATTTTACGCATGTTAATTGAGACAGACAGCATGTAGTTGTAGGGTTCTGTTATTGTAACCGCAGTGGTACTGAGACATTTGCAGAACTCCAGATTGCAGGTGTTTCCAGTGAGGAACGAACCCACTACCACCCTATACGGTGACTAATGCGTTCACCACCACACCATGTGTTTCCTTTGTTTCGCCTTTCTCTCAGGTAGTTTTCTATCTACCAGTGCCATCAGCAATCACCCATCGGCAGGAGTGCTCGTTTCCCACTGCAGACACCTGCAATCCAAAGTTTTGTGTATGTCTGAGCACCATTATGGTTGTATCATATATAATACCCTCCCCTGAAAAATTGTAATAGGCAATAAGTGAAAAGGTTAACATCTGTTATTGTAGTTGTCAAAATGGACACTCTTGCCACGGCTAGGCAAATTGCTGGAGCTGATGTCAGACGTCTAGCAGAAAATCGACTCGTAGGCGGAGAAAGTTCAACTGATGGTACAGTGACCCTTTTCACTTTAAGTTTTCAATCATGACTTAGGGAGAATTCCTCTAATTCCACTAGCCATAATACTTTCATATCTTTATAGCTTTAAGATTCCATATGCTTTAGTTTAAATCACAGGCTTATTAGTGCTGTGAGGTAGCATTGCTAATGTTTAAACTATGGATTTCACAGGTAAAAGTGGGAAAAAAAGACGAACTACGAAGCGGCGATAGTTTATCCAGCAGTGTGTCTGAAGTCTGAAGCAAGGTCATTACTGCATATGTTCGGATACAATGGTGTCATATTTCATTTTTTGGCTCTCAAGCTTTGCTTCTGTACTTGTAGATTTGTTATGCCACAAAAACTATTTCGTGTAAGGTCGAAGATCTCGCGTAATTGTTGCTTGTATGTTTTTTGTTATTAATGTTTAATGCGTAAAGAGCTTATATCTGTTTTTTTAGTCTTTGTAGATACGATGAACCCTTCTGACATAAAAATAGAACAAGTACTGGTAGAAGTACTCACAGTGCACGTGGCACACCACCTCCATGGATGACGACCTCCTAGAAACGAGAGTGAAAAGTGGAAGCGATGGGTGTCGTTCAAACCTGGAGGAATGGGCTATAAATTAGATGTTGAACAATGCAGAGGTTATTGGGTAAACATTTGGGCTATCCAGAGGGCTCATAGCACAGTGGTAGTGACATTCGTCGTCATGGTCATGGTGCTAGTTCGATACCGCTCAGGGCCGGCGAAGCCTCTCATCACTTGGGGGTCGGGAAATTGATGCTGGGCTTATTTGGGGAAGAAAGTCACGCTCTGCAACCCAATTAGGAAGGCCCCAGCCCGGCTATCTCAGGACTACAGGAAGAATTGCACGACCAGCATTCTACGACTTTCAACATGAGATGAAAATCCTCAAGCAGCAACGGACCCCACATGGTAAAGTTGGAAGATCTTCATGGATAGTCGATGCAAGGATACGAACCGAATGTGGGAGGTGCTGGGATCCGCACAGTAGGCGTGAAGATGGATCAGATAAAATAAATGAAATAATATTTGGGCCATCCTTCCAAAGGTTTACGGCCCCATGGTGGCTGGGAGGTGTTCCTGTATGTCGGGCTGCGATGCACAGCGGTGGGTTCGTTCACTCAGCAAGGTCTTTCGATCTGAGAGGGAGTGCGGCGTTCCCATCAAGAAGCCCGCTAAAACTAAACCAATACCAGGATTCATCACCGTCCTGGTGTAAAGCTAGTCGCGTAATGACAAATATCCCTCCGATCCACAAAGGCGGAGACCCCCGTGGTGGTAACGATCTGAGGCAGACTTTGGCTAGGCTGACCTCGGGACAGCGAGAAACCACAACGGCTAAACCACCAAGACTCCGAAGAAATGGAAATTTTGCTGAGGTCTGCACAAGTGAGGATGGGCTATCCAAGTATCTAAGTGTTTGGGCTATACAGTGACTTTCGGGCCCTATCGCAGTAGTTTTTTTCAATCCTCGCTGACATGTCTGGTACCAATCTGCGAATCCTTTAGAGACGGATTTTGTGAAATTACAGTAGCACACTGATGTCATCCATAAAGTTGTACTGCTTTCAGGAATGAATTGAATGGGATCGATCGTATGTGAGCCTCAGATTCCATGAAATATATAGCATGCCGATTTGCCTTAGATCTACAAGTAAAATACTCAAAGTGGGAAGTTCACGACTGAGTCAACCCAAACGGAAACATTTATTTTTTCAATATATTACCAAAGGTTTAATATCCACTCTCTGTGAATACAAGAGCTCTGCGTGGAATTCGCGAAGATTTCGTAAGGATAATGTTGCCACCTAGTGAGGACATCATCATTCACGTAAAGAAGTCGTTAAGATGATACTTGCGCGAAATTCTTGGATTCACTACCATAAAGGTAGCTGTTCCGTACATCATATTAGGCAGTTTTCTTTTCTCCATGGAAATAAAATCATCTCTTAACCGTAATCGTTGGTGCAAAGGACGGCTTCCTTAAGGGAATTCAACCGTACCTCGTCCGATTGGACTTTACCATAGATTCATTTGAGGATCGTAATCTCAATGATGGTTAGTTGCTGATTATGGAACTATTTATGGATTGATTTATATGGTTGTGTTTCTCAAATGAAACGGTATACGGTTGTTAGCAAGTGCTCTCAATGAAGCGAATCGCCACACGGTTAAAGAAGACCTCCCTGATCACAATGGCCAGTTGGCCAAAAGAGAAATGCTCTGAGTTGCCAGCACGGATACAGGTGGGTACAAACACTTGTAAGTTCGTAATGTAAGATGGTATTGCAAATGAAGGACCATATGAGACGTCACAAATTTCTCTATCTCGTTCAAGTGCATTAAGTTATGGTGTGTTCAGCTTATATCCAATCTTCTGGGAAAGATGTTAAGAACGTTCTTCTAGGGGTATGTGTAGCTCTATATCTTAGTCGCAAAGTTATGATCGCTTGGCAGTTAGAGGTCTACATCTTCTCTCGGAGTAAAATTAGATCTTCCGTTCAATTTAGCAATCAGGGTAAAGCATCTTCTTTTGGAAATCAAAGTTGATCGACTAATACTTCGAACCTCTCTATTTTCATAACTACACTACTGAGCACGTACATTCCAGTGGTCGAAGGCATGCTGCAGCACCCATGGGATCGATCCCTGTGCTGTGCGCTAGGCTCACCCAACCCTCCATCCCTCCGGGGTCGGCAAATTAGGACCAGATTTGTCTTGGAGGATAGCAGCATTGACTCGATACATCTATAGGCCACCGCGAGTCATTGTAACGACCAGATATGCATTCAATTATTTCTAAAAGTGCTTAATGAAGTCAAATGCAAGACGCATCCTTCAGGGATTGATCAACAACGAGAACTTGATCCTTTTTTGTACTATTGATACAATTACTCGTGAACATCCACAAAGTTATGTTATTTAAACAGTTTTGTATGATCATTACGACTTAGCACTATACTGATCAGGATCAGATGTACCGACGTTAGTAACGTCTCCATTCGTCCGCTTTGTGATGTGTTAGTGTCTTCTAAAGAGCTCCCTCCATCAGTTGAACACTGACGAAGTCTCGCTATATTTTCAAGCCGACGCACCACCATACAGTTTCCGGATCACCGCATCCTGTCCAGAGGTTGTTGCTCCAGAAGTTACTGGTTGTAAACTTTCCTTTGTCTTACGAACTTCTTCGCCATGTTCTAAAACTGTGCTAAAAAACAGGAACTAAATCTCTTACTCAGTGTTCACTTTATCCATCAAATAGTGACCTAAGTGAAAAGTGTGTACCATACAAACACTGGAGGTAGTTACGTGATGTTTCGCTTTTCTTTGTTTGCTCCTGTAGGAACAACATCCCTAGTCTGGCAATGGCAATGAGAGTGAATGCAATGCTTCTCGGTAGATAACGCATGAAAGGGCGCGTGTGGCGCAGTGGCCAGGGGCGCTCTGCAACACACACATGGGATCGATCTCCGCTCCCGTGACTCGGCAAGCCTTTCATCCCTCCAGGGTCGGCAGATTGGTACTAGACTTGCCTGTGAAGATAGCAGCACTGGTTCGGCACATTGGTAGGCCATCGCGAGTCATTGTAAAGACCAGATATGCAATCAATCACCTCCAATCGATGCTTATGAAGTCGAATGCATGAGGCATCCCTCAGGAATTGATCAACACAGAGAGCTATATCCTTTTATTTAGTGACGCATGAACGGTTAAAAGCCAGCATTTGGATTACCATCAGGGTGATTGGTTTTAGCACTTTGTGACCGATAAGTTCTCTGCAAGTACTTACCCCACCAATTACCAGAACCCTGAAATCTGAGCTTAGAATGGTCGAACCGCTAATCATCAGTGAACTATAGCATACCTAACTAGTAAGTGGACGAGGCTAGCAAACGATGTGATGTACAGTTCACCGCATGTTGTCCTGATGTGCAGAATATGAACACCGCTCTTATAAACTTGTAGTCGAACATCCGAATCGAAATATACAATGACATTTTGAGTGGAGAACTGGAGCGAAGCATAAAACTGGATTATTGAGTCAATCTGATCATACTCGTTGATTCGACTCGATAAGGATGTATACACGGTTAGTGTCCATCTGAGTTTACCTCTCTGTTTACCACCAGACAATGTATTACGTAAATTGGAGAACGTCAGTGGTACCTGTGGACGGTATGGGCCACTGTGGCCCCGAAAAAAAATATAGGATGAAGTTTTCTGCGTTGACTAATCCTTAGAGGACTCGCCATTCATTTTACTTCCGCAAGCATCGTTAGACATGATTAAATGCATCTGGCCTTTGCAATGACCCGCGGTGCTTGCCAATTTGCCAAGTCAGTGTTTCTATCCTAAAAGGCAATAATGGTACCAGTATGCCGACTCGGAAGTGAGGAAAGCCTTGCTGAAGCCTGGGTGCGGGATCGAACAAGCGACTGATCCTGCGCGTGCTGC